GATAGAGCAGGGTTTAGGGCTGTTGTGCATAGGGTCGCTATGAGTCGGAAACGACTCGACGGCACATAACAACAACAACCTGATGGCTGACTCCCCCAGTGCAATTCACCTTTTGATTTCCTGACTGCTGGTACCAAGAGTGTTTATTGTGGAGTTGAGCAAGCTGAAGCCGTCAACAACCTCAATCTCTTCTCTATCATTGTGCTGCCAATTGGTCCAGAGATAAGAATCTGTTTTGTTGCTGTTGAGTTTCAATCTATATTGAAGACAACAGTCCTTGACCTTCTGCAGCAAGTGCAAGTTCCTCTTCAGTTTCAGCAAGCAAGGTTGTATCATCTGTATAACACAGGTAGTTGGTGAGTCCTCCCTCACTCCTGAGGCCACATTCCTCCCCATAAAGTCCAGCCCACCCAAATGATCTGTTCTGCATACAGTTTGAGAAGGTATGGAGATAGAAAGCATCCCTACCCTACTTATTTCCTGATTTTGAACCATGCAGTGTTTCCTTGCTCTGTTCTGACAACTGCTTCCTAGTCCAAGTATATGTTTCACATAAGCACAATTAAGTGTTCTGGGATTCCCATACTTAAGGATAGCCACAATTTGTTGTGATCCACACTGTCAAATGCCTTTGTGTAGTAAATGAAACACAGATAGACACTCGTCTGGAACTCTTTGCTTTCAGCCAAGATCCACTTGACATTGGTGATAATGTATCCAGTCGTGGGACCTCTTCTAAAGTGACCTTTTATTTCTGGTAGTTCCTACTAATGTACTGTTCCAGTTGTTTTTGGATAATCTTCAGCAGGATTTTGCTTATGTGTGATATTAGTGATATTATTCAATAATTTTCACACACTATCTAGTCACCTTCTTTTGGAATTGGAGTAAATATGAAACTCTTCTGGCCAGTCTTCCAGATTTCTTGGCACAACCTGGTGAACACGTCTAGGGCTGCATATGTTTATTGAAATATGTCAGTTGGTATTTCATCAATTTGTGCTGTGTCAGAGACAGTGAGACTAGCTCAGCATAGGGCAAGGTTTGGAGCAATTATACATAGGATTGCTATGAGTCGCAGGTGACTTGATGGCACATAACAACAACAATTGGTGCCTAACAACAACAACAACAACAACAACAACAACAACATGTCTGGTGCCTCCTTTCTTCATTTTTCCTTATCAAATATTTACAACATAAAAAGGGCTTTTCCCATAAAGTGGTTGCCCTGAGTTGTAAACCTAGGCATACTGTCTACCAGATCATGCTTTGCATTATCTGCAAACTCTTCAGTAGCACTTCTTGAGTACCTGTACACTTGAGTTTCTGCTAGCATCCCTTCTAAATAAATCATCATATTTGGCTCCTTCCTTCAAAGATGCTACGGTCAAATTTGAGTGACACATTGAAGTGAGTAGGACTTGGCAAAGGCATCCAATGAGATAGTAGTTAGTAAAGCCTTGGAGGTGGGGAAATTAGCTGGGCTCTAGGTTTGTTGATTCAGGAGATAAGGGAGAACAGATAGGGTGGGGCTGGAATTCTTGAAAACTCTGTTAAACTAGAGTTTAGCATATCTGATGGTGAAATATCATTGTAGAATTTTAAGCAGGTTGTGAAATTGCAGTGTGAATTGGAGAAAGGAGATGAGACCAAATGGAAGACCAGCAGCAACCCAAGGCTGAGGTTCTGGGAATCTTGAAGAAGGAAAGGATGCAGTAAAATGCAGGGTTTGGAGCCAGAAGAACTGGGTTCTAGTCCTGGTCCTGAGTTAGAGAAATGACTTCTTTGCTTGTGCCTTCCCTTAACTGCGGCCTAGTGGATAAGGAGTTGCACAACCAATCTGAAGGCAGGAGCTTCTAATCCACCAGTCGCTCCAAAAGAGAAAGATGAGCAATCTCCTCGCCCTGCAATTTGTAAGTTCTGAAAATCCTACTTACTGGAAGGTCAGTTCTGGCAATGACAATGAAAGTGAGTTAACTGTAAAACTTGAAAACCTTCAAAGTGATCTTCTCAATCTGGCAACACAGTTGAGCCTTTGAGCTGGGGCACTGGGGGGTGGGGGGGCAGGGGAAGGGGGCAGTGGGAAGGAAGGAAAAGAACAATACAATGGACATTAGAAGAAGAAAGTGACTGACTGGGGGTACCAAAGATAAAGAGAAGAGAGAGATTGAACAGGGCCTCAGCCAGGGTAAAATGGGGAAACTGGCGGACAGTCTCTGGTCTTGGCGAATTTACTTCATCCAGTTCCTCCTTTCTTCTCTTTGTGTAATCTTGCTTCACCTTATTTGGTGAGGACGCAAAACAAGACAGTCGCATATCGACCAGACTGGGGGATGTTGACTCCTCAGATGTTCCTTCTCTCCCAATCCATTCCACACCACTCCTGAGCAATGAGCAGGGGCGGGGGGAGGGCAGAAGTAGAAGGAACAGTGAGTTTACAGACAGAGAACTCATCATGTACCAGGCACTGTGCTAAGAACTTTAAATAATCTTTCACAACCATGCAATGAGATTTTTACGGCTGAAGAATGTAGAATTTAAAGACGTTAATCTGTGCATGGTCCCATACCTACTAAAGAACAATGCTAAGATTGCAAATGATGTTTGACTGTATCTCTTTACGGCCTCAAAGGTCCGAATCCTCCAATCCCTTGTCTCTCGCACATCTGATTCCACGTCCAGGCCCCAAGGCCAGGACCGCCAGAGGTGCCTCGGTGTCCGGACCGTGCCGCAAGGCGGAGGCGGGGCTGGGACGCCGACAGGTGGGGCGGACGGGAGGGGGCGTGACCAGGGAGGCGTGGTGTGGCGGGGGCGTGGCCGGAAGCCTTAAAGTGGCCTGGCGGCGGGGCGGGCCATTGAGGCGGCTGGTCGCGGAGCTTTCCACTGAACGTATCTGTAGACGCCGCCGGCACCATGTCCCTGGCGGCCTCAGCGGGCCGGGGCCCGGGGGCCTTGTGGTCCCCAACTCACGTGCAGGTGACGGTGTTGCAGGCGCGGGGCCTGAGGGCCAAGGGCCCGGGGGGCACGAGCGACGCGTTCGCGGTGATCCAGGTGGGCAAGGAGAAGTACGCCACCTCGGTATCCGAGCGCAGCCTGGGCGCACCCGTATGGCGGGAGGAAGCCACCTTCGAGCTGCCGCCGCTGCTGTCCGGCGCTGCACCCGCGGCCGCCGCCACCCTGCAGCTCACGGTGCTGCACCGCGCGCTGCTCGGCCTCGACAAGTTCCTGGGCCGCGCCGAAGTGGACTTGCAGGAGCTGCACCGGCACCAGGGCCGCAGGAAGACCCAGTGAGTGCGGTGGCAGAGGGGGCTGCGTGGAGCAGGGCGTGGGCTCCTGGCATGGTGGGATCTGGGGGGCAGGCACCGTGCAGCCTCCGCCTGGGGACCCTTTTTGAAGTGAGCGTGGCAGTCACGGCCCTGCTGTGTTTCCCGAGGACAGACAATGTAGAGGTCCCTTCAACTAGCAACACAGAGTACTCTCTGTTGACTTCAACTTCTCATTCGACGGTCTGCCCCGGCTTTTCCATTATTTTAGCTCCTTGAAAAAATAAGGACAGCACGTGGGGAGATTTTGAAATATGCCAGACGCTGTTAGATTCCTGGCACATAGTAAGCTCTTCAGTGAACTTCTGATGAAATGAACTTATACGTGGATCAGGTGAATTCTTCCTAATGTGGATGGTGGTGTGTATCAACGCATTCGTTTAAAGTATACAGTCTGCTGAGTAGATCACTGGCCTGGGTACTTTGAGGTGAGAATTTATGGGCCATGGCGACTGAGGTTCCACCAGAACCCCTCCAACCTTCCGTGGAGGCCCTCCATGGGGGTGGGGAATGGGAAATGCAGCTGCCCTGTGATTGCTAAATCCCTGCCCACCCCAGAATCCCTTTCCCCTCCAGAGTGAATGTTTGAACAATTTAATCTTTCAGATTGAAAATTACTAATCCTGTTTGCCTTGATCCCCCGTGATTCCCTGTCCAAGTGAAACTAGGAAGTGAGCCTTGTTTCTCTTTGCATTTATCAGGTTCCTCTCTCTGGGTTTACTGATGCATGGCTACTCACCTGCATCTTCCCAGTCTAAGTTCTGTATCAGAGTATCTGCCTCCCACACAGATAGTTGAGCAAACCCAGATACCAATTTATTTATTCTCATTCACAAGTCCAGTAGAGCGTTTGATAATTATTCCCATTTGTGTACCAAAAGCTAGCCTTGCAGATCTTAATTGGATTGCTTTGCTGGGTCGAGCCAGTCACATTGTGGCTTACACTGAGCAATCTATGGAGTGCACCAATGTGGTTGAGGGCCTTACATACACTTCATGTTTTCCTTTTCCCTTATAAAGGAGACAGGAAAAGTGAGAGGGCTTGAAGTTACCAGGCTCCGGATTCTGGTAACTAAGGTGGGTCCAGTTTCACCATGCATGTTTGTAAATGTAATACCTGATTGACTTAGCTGGCCAAAAATGAAGAGACTTTTTTTAACTCAAATCAGATAAAAAAAGGAAAAAGCCTTGATGTGAGGCTGGGTGGGCTATCTCTTGGCATTAGTTTGCAAGGCATAGTGTGAGAGCAGTTTCTTTTTGTTTAAGAGCCATTGACGCAATGCTAATTGTCCATCTGATCAAATGGCATTTGGAGTCTTGGATTGACTTCCTTTTCAATTTCAGTGGGGAACTGATGACCATCCTTTGTCTTGTCCTATCCTGACACGTATGGATATTAACTTCCATCACTGCCATCTATTTTTTATGTGAACATTCTATCTCCTTGAAAGATGAACTCCTTCTCTTAACCAAGGATGAGGATTCCAGAGTCCTGGGTCCAGTGCCAGCTTTGGTCCTGACTCATTGCTGGGCTTCAGGTTGCTTGGTCTCTGAACACCCAAGTTTCCCTATTTGTAAATGGAGCTTGTTGCCAGACTTAATTAATGTTTGTGAAATGTTTCTTGGTTCTTGGATGAAAGAGGTCAAGGTATAGATGCAAAAAAGTTCTTTAACTGCCTTGTGAGGAATGAAAAACTTTTCCAGGTCCGTACATTTCCCTTTTCTCATGCTCTCTAATGCCTCTTTGGTAGTTACTTTTCTTTTTTAATATAAGCTGCTTATCCCATGAAGTCACAGTATGGCTTTCAGGAAGGTAGTATGGCTTAGGTGATAATAACTGCGAAGAACTTCTTTACTCCTTTACCAGTAGGTAAAACTTGCAAGTTTTCCACTCATCAAAGGACTTTCCAAGGTGCCAGGATAATACAGTTATATGAAGCCTGTCTGATGTTTCAGTGTATCACCTGGGTGCCTGAGATTTAGAGAATGAGATAGGCACCCTTTCACTCAGAGTAGCACAGGTGAAGCGGAAGTTTAACAGAAAGAAACTGGTTGGGCTAGAAAAGTCATTTGAACTAGTTATTATTGGTTTGACTCCACCTTAGACATTAAAAAACAGAAACAGAAGCTCCATTCTTGGTCTGGAGTGTATGTGGGACTTTTTCTTTTCTGTGTTCTATGTCCTAATCACTAGGAAAGATGGGTGAGTGGCTGTCGTAGAGAACAACTTTTGTCATGCATCCAAAAGCTGAAACTCGAGAGAGAATTGCTAATATTTCTAGCTGATCTCTTTTAATCCCGTCAGAGTTATTTGCAGCCAAGGGAATGTGTTTTCTGTCATGACTCAGAAATGAAGTCCTCCAGTTTGGTCTGATGATACCAAACCTGCCTTTAAAACAAGCTGCTGTCTGTGTGTATGTATTTAGTCCTGGTGGCACAGCAAGTGGCATAGTGCTCAACAGCTGCTACTAGCTATTACCAGCTGCTCCTCAGGAGAATGATGGATGGTATTCTACCATAAAGATTTACAGCCTTGGAAATCTAAAGGAAGGTCTCTTTGATTCAGAACCAACTTCATGAAACGTTTAGTTAATAAACAGTTAAATCCTTTAATTAGAAGAAATTTATTGGAATGGATCTATTCACCTTATATACATCTGTTAGAGACCTGGACCTTGAATCAGTGTTGTTATTTTTAGGTGCCATTGAGTCATTGACCACTTGTAGTAACTCTGTGAACAAAAGGGCTGACTTTTGCATCATCCTCACCATCTATCTCTGAGATGCTGCAGCCCATTGTTACAGTCACTCTCTTAATCTCATCTTGTTGGGAGTCTACCTCTTTCTCTGACCTTCCACCTTTCCCAGCATGATGTTCTTTTCTGAAGACTATCCCCTCCTGTATGCCCAAGGTATATGAGAGAGGACGTTTTACCATCTTTGTTTCTTATGAACACTTTGGTTGGACTTTTTCCAAGACACACTTGTTCTTTTGGCAGTTGTGGGATATTTAGTTCTTTTCTCTAGCACTGCAATTCAAAGACATAGATTCTTCTCTCATCCTTACTTATTGTCCAATTTTCAGATGCCTAGGAAGTAACTGAAAAGACCATTGTTTGTATCAGGAGCACCTTATTCTTTAAACTGACATCTTTGCTCTTTAGCACTTTGGAGAAGTCCTTGAAAGCAGATTTTCCCATTGCAGCACATCTTTTGACTTCTTGACTGCTATTTGGAAGAAGGAGTGGCATCTACTTCCTAAATAACATGCCTACAGAAACTCTATGAACTTTGATAAATGTCGATGTTTATAGAGGGGCTTTAGGCCGTTTGTTCATAGGGCCGCTATGAGTTGTGTTCGACTTGAAGGCAATCAACAAAAACAATAACAGCATTATTAACATAGATGTTGATTATGAATTCTAGTAAAATGAAATTGTTGACAACTTCAGTCTGATGATGATCATGATGTTACCAGTTGGTCTAGTGGTGAGATTGTGTTTTCTTGATAATGAGATGTAATACTGAAGGTCTTTGACCTTCTGCTGTAAGTATTTCAAGTCCTCTTCAGCAAACAAGGTTATGTCATCTACATAACACAGGTTGTTGGTGAGTCTTTCTCCAATCCTGATGCCATATGCTTCTTATAGTCTAGTTTCTTAAATTATTTGCTCAGTATACAGATTGAAGGAGTATGGGAAAAGGATGCAACCCTGAAACATACCATTCCTGATTTTTTTTTTAAATTTTTATTTTATTATTTGTGTGTGTGTATGTGTACTGTCAAATCAGATCTGGCTGGTACAGGAGGAGATTGTCCCTCCTTCCTCGGCAGAGCATCTGGTGGATTCGAACTGTGCGCCTCTGGGATTGCAGGGCAGCTTCTTGCCACTAGGCCACCAGAGCTCCCCACCATTCCTGATTTTCCTATGCAATGTTTCCTTGTTCTCCTCAGACAACAGCTTCTTGGGGGATGTCTAGGTTTCTCATGAGCATAGTAGGGTCAATAGGATTTGGTTGAGTACCATGGCCACCGAGCAGACATAAAACGGGGAGGCAGAATCAGGTGACTAATATGTAGGATTCTCTGTTCAACTCTATAGTAGTTTACTTACTGAAACAAAATTTGGGGAAATGGTCATTAAAGACAAGTTAAATATTTGAATGGAAACTTACTATTCCAACAGTCTTTCAAATATGAAAAGTGATAATTCTGGAGTGTTATTTCTTAATATTTGTTGATGATTCAGGAGGATGTTCAGCTGTGTACCAAAGGATTCGAAAATTGTAAAGGTTAGATATTTTGAAGTCAGATGATGCTGAATTAAGTTAACAAAGGATATTTGGGCTATTAAAAGGAAATAAGGGCTAGATAGATATTTTTCTGGGAAAGTTAACTACAGAAAAATTGCTGCTGTAACTACCACCACCACCCACTGCTGTCAAGCTGATTCTGACTCATCACCCTCCATTGGGTTTTCTGAAGTAGTTAATCTTTATGTGAGGAAACTGTTCCTCTTCCATGAAGCAGGTGGTAGGTTTGAACTGCCAGCCTTTCCCTTAGCAGCCCAATATGTTACAAATTACAACACCAAGCTTCCTTAGATAAACTTAAACCCCCTTTTCTCCCCCTTTTATAGCTTTGAATAGTTATCTGAGGTAATGTGGCTGACTCTGTGGCAGGCTTGGTGGTGGTGGTTGTTATCTAAGTAATTTTTCTACATGCAACTCTCCCAGAGAAACACACCAAGCCCTTATATCTTTTTAACACCCTAAATTTCCTTTTGTAACCTAATTCAGCATCGCCACATCTCATTTCAGAATATCAAACCTTTGTAGTAGTCAAATCCTTTCATATGCAGCCAAATCCTTCTTGACTATTTGATAAATATAAGAAAACAACACTCCATAATCCTCACTTTTCTTATTTGGAAGACTGTTAGTATATTAAGCTTCTATACAAA